AGATTTAAGGGACAGTTGATGAGTACAAAGCCTTATATATGTGCTCACTTCATATACTGTGAACCATTCGCATTTTATATATCAAGATTTCAGTGAGCCCTAATGATAGGTCTTATTTTTTCCCCTCATAATCTACCTTAACTAAAAGCAGTTCTCATAGTGTTTATTTCGTATTCATTTACAGTGGCCTCTAACAAGACTAAACCTTGCACAAATTAAGGAGGCAACATTCTACAAACTAGGAATGTTGTTAGCCAATAAAAATCTAGGAATGAGTATAAAGAATTAGATCAGAAACTTAAAAACATTTTCGCATTTTTGCCCCCTGAATCCCTTTTTATCGACTAAATTAATGACATTTTCAACTCTAACTTCCAACGTAGGTGTCCTATTTACGTACCGTCTGCCCCTACATGTCACATTTCCCACCGAGAAGCTTCTTGTTACATTAAAATAGAGATTCGGGGGCTGTTTTGCATTTTCGCCCCTCGAACGCCTTTTTCGACAAAATAAAAGGCATTTTCGACTCTAACTCCTAGCCTACGTGTTCCATTTACGTACCGTCTGTCTCTACAGTACAGGTCATATTTGGCACGGAGAAGCTGCTAGTTACATCACAACATTGGTTGGGGGGCTGTTTTGCTGCCACCCAAACGCTTTTTTCTGACTAAATTTAAGGCATTTTCAACTCTAACTCCTAGCCTACGTGTTCTATTTACGTACCGTCTATCCCTACAGGTCATATTTGGCCAAGAGAAGCTGCCAGTTACATCATAACATTGGTTGGGGGGTTGTTTTGCCTCCACCCAAATGCCTTTTTTCAACTAAATTTAAGGCATTTTCGACTCTAACTCCCAACCTGTGTCCTATTTACATACCGCCTGTCCGTACAGATCATATTTGGCACGGAGAAGCTTCTGGTTACATCACAATATTGGTTGGGAGGTTGTTTTGCATTTTCACTTCCCGAACCACTTTTTTCGAATAACTTTAAGGTGTTTTCGATTCTAACTCCCAATTTAATTGTCCAATTTACGTACCATCAGTTCTCACAAGTCATTTTTGGTATGAGGAAACTGCCCGTGACATCCCAAGAGTGCTTGGGGGGCTGTTTTGTATTTTCATCCTCCTAACGCCCTTTTCATCTTACTTTAAGTCATTTTTAACTCTAACTCCCAACCTAGTTGTCATATTTACGTATTGTTTGTCCCCATTGGAATATTAGACAAAAGATAATATTGTTCCGATAAGTATAAATGGTAGGTACAGTTTAGGCTAGAGTACGTAAATAATATCAATTGACTAGTTCATTGTTAAATCTAACATATTTTAACAAATTATTTTAAATATCAATAAAATTGTTCTTACCAAACAGTAAATGTAACAGCGCCCGCGTGGGCCTCGCTACTACAGTTCGGACTCAATTTGTGTCACGGTTCTTAATCTGAACCAAAGAGTCCAAATCTGGCAAATCGTTTTGAGAAACAGATTTTTGAAAAAGTAGTGCCAAACATGGACTGCTTTGCCAGATACAGAGTCGCCACCTAAATATTTTTTATGGGAGAATTTAGGAAACCCTGACTCGGTGCCGAAGGCCACATGTCCGTCATCACCGGAGTTGTCTCGGCTCGGGAGCTTGGGTACGATCGGGGAAGGTCAGCTATGAGCACCCCCTTTCGCCCGGTCCGAAGACTGGCCTCTACTAACCGTGATATCCGTTTTTTGAAAACTTTATGTGTTCTTATTCCGATTATCAGCCTAGAATTACTATGTTATACGCACAGCAAACAAGTATAGACTAGATTGCCTAATTTGGAAATAAACATTGCATATCCGTTCGGTTTGGCAGCCATTTCAGTAGCCTTTTTGACACTTGAGTCATGTAGATTCTTCATCTCATCAGCACTCCTTCAGTTCCAGTCTCTATTTTCTTTCCTTTTTCTGATGTTGTGGCACTTCCATCAATTTCAGAACTTGAACTAAAAATTTGTTGCACCTGTTTTAGCTTTCCGTCATAAAAGGACTTCTGTTCAGATAATTGCTTCACTTTTCTTTTGTTAAATAACAAAGCATAGTGGTTGGACAAAGACTCAAATTCCTGCAAATGATATCAATTTAGGAGCTTAAGCCAGAACTATCATTCCAGGTGGCATTGGATTGAAAGACATTCAACCAAGAAGATAAAGAAGGTGACCTCCAACTGTTTTGGACCTCTGTATATGTAGAAGCATCTATCAAATGTCACTTCTTCAAACAATTGATCCTCATCATCTTGTGCTTGAGCTCCCTTCTTATCAACTTCAATACCAGTTTCTGTAATCATAAGATCAATGGTCTCCTTGCCTACAAGCTCAAGCACTTGCATTCCCTTTGCAGTAAAAGCTTTTCCACTCTATAAAACAATGGCACAGAAATAAGTTACTACGAGCAATTAATAAGATGACAAGTGTCATGAGTACCTCTATTAAGAATGGGGCAACAGAACCAGGTGACGGTATACCCCTTTGTTGAATAGATTCAGCAATATTTATAGCATAATTCTTAAGCCTGGAAAACACAAGAGACAAAAATCATTTAATTAGCAGAAAAAAATTTAGGACCTTCCGGGCAAGAAATAAGTGACTGTGACCCCATCAGCCATAGTCTACCACAATAATTGGTCAACGGACATCTACAAGTTTGCACACACAACTTTCATATATTCAGTATTTTTTAAATTTCCTGGATTCTGGAAGTTTCTTTGAATGTAAATTGAAAATCAAAGGATTCCTACTGCCTCACCTACAACATTAAAAGTTCTACCACTTCGAAAACAATTTGTAACAATAACAGTGAATGAGTAGCCACTCACTACTCTATGACTATATCTGAAAGTAATTATACTTATATTCTTAACGATTTCTAAACATATATGGATATACCCCATAACATTCTGGCAAGTATTGTACCATCAAAATTGCCTTCCAGGGTGTCACTTTGTCATCCAATCATCTAAATGATGTAATAACAAGCAGTGAACACTAAATTTACTCCCAAAAGTGTAGTTCCAAAGATATCAATATGAAGTATAAAAACATTGACCCTTGCCATTCTAAACACAAGTATGCATAATCATTAACTTCTTGAGAAAGTACACTAATAAAGAATATGAAGTCTCATCTGCCATACACGTCAATTTGTGTATAACGAATGCCGTTTTCATGAGAATAATTAATTACAAAAGAGTATATTTTAAAAAGTTGAGTTGCAATGAAGTCATATTTTTGAACAAAATCAGAACCCCCTCTTAACGCACTTCCTAATGCAAAGCTAAAAGTCAAAAATCTTCACACACCCTTTCACCTTCCCAATAATCAATTTATTTAAGTCATTTTTTTTCTCATAAATTGTAAAAAAAAAAAAAAAAAAAACTACACCAAACACACTGGCACAAACTCTCAAAATAAAAAAAAAAGAAGAAAAAAAAACCATAAACACCACCATAAGCTGCACCAAAAAGGGCTTAATAATAAGTAAAACTGACACTTTGAAATGAATTAAAGCAACTGAACTAAACAAAAGTACATCCCAAGAATTTGTCAAATGCAACCCATAACCATCACATACAATATTTCAGACAGCAACCCCAAGAAACAATTACCGAACAAATTTAGTCATAGGATCCAAGAGAATAAAGAGTAGCAGAAAAGGAGGTAGGTTTCGTAATCGGTGGTAGAACTAGTGCCCCATTTTAATTTTTAACTCAGAAAAAGAATGAGATAGAAATCTGAGGACAGACAAAAAAAAAAGAGTAAAGCCTAAATCAGTACACACTCCATCCTCCCAGAATATATTGCCGGTGGCAGCAAAAACCAGCCGGTGGCATCTAGCCACTGCCGGTGATGGGTGGGGATGGTCTACAAGCCCCACCCTGCCCTTCCAAGGCAGGATGCAAGTGTTTGGTGCAAAACCAGACACTAAACGGTCGAGTTCGGGGATCCTGAGGCAAGGCGCGTGAGCCGAGACCTCCGGGAACTCCAAATGAACACAAACATGGAAGATCACCGTGTGTTCAAACAGTGACGTCCAAGTCTTGAGGACGGTCAAAAATGGGGTGTCTACAGTAAATGTCAGTTGACCACCTCAGATCCCCAAGAGTTGTGTGAGTTTGGCGACTACATTATTCAGATGATCAACCTTTTTATTTGTCTCCTCCCGATCTTTTTGTCCCTGCGCCCGTTGTTGCAACTTCTCATTGTAATATTTCTTACACTCCTCTCACTCTCTCATCAACTCTTCACGATTTGTTTGTTGCTCCTCACGAAGTGTTTTGAGGCCAAATCAAACGGGGGTAAATATATCTTGCCCAAAACTTTAAAAGTTGAGACCCAACTCTAAATAGGTTCTTTGTTGTATAGACCACCCTCGAGTACTTACAACCTTGAGTGGCACAACATAGGAAATCACCAAATAGATCCTTATGATATAATGGAAATTGGGCCATAACAAACTTAAGAAGTCAAAAAAAAAAACACAACAAAACCACCTCCTACCCCAACATCTTCACTCATGATGCAGACAACACAGGTTATACCTACTTAATAGCATTAATAGAGTTGAAAACTGAAGGGAGAAAAACAGATTGTTTGAGGCAAGATTACCCCGCAGCCATTTCAGCAGCCTTTTTGACACTTGAGTCATGTAGATTCTTCATCTCATCAGCACTCCTTCAGTTCCAGTCTCTATTTTCTTTCCTTTTTCTGATGTTGTGGCACTTCCATCAATTTCAGAACTTGAACTAAAAATTTGTTGCACCTGTTTTAGCTTTCCGTCATAAAAGGACTTCTGTTCAGATAATTGCTTCACTTTTCTTTTGTTAAATAACAAAGCATAGTGGTTGGACAAAGACTCAAATTCCTGCAAATGATATCAATTTAGGAGCTTAAGCCAGAACTATCATTCCAGGTGGCATTGGATTGAAAGACATTCAACCAAGAAGATAAAGAAGGTGACCTCCAACTGTTTTGGACCTCTGTATATGTAGAAGCATCTATCAAATGTCACTTCTTCAAACAATTGATCCTCATCATCTTGTGCTTGAGCTCCCTTCTTATCAACTTCAATACCAGTTTCTGTAATCATAAGATCAATGGTCTCCTTGCCTACAAGCTCAAGCACTTGCATTCCCTTTGCAGTAACAGCTTTTCCACTCTATAAAACAATGGCACAGAAATAAGTTACTACGAGCAATTAATAAGATGACAAGTGTCATGAGTACCTCTATTAAGGATGGGGCAACATAACCAGCTGACGGTATGCCCCCCTGTTGAATAAATTCAGCAATATTTACAGCAGAATTCTCAAGCCTGAAAAACACAAGAGACAAAAATCATTTAATTAGCAGAAAAAAATTTAGGAACTTCCAGGCAAGAAATAAGTGACTGTGACCCCATCAGCCATAGTCTACCACAATAATTGGTCAACGGGCATCTACAAGTTTGCACACACAACTTTCATATATTCAGTATTTTTTAAATTTCTTGGATTCTGGAAGTTTCTTTGAATGTAAATTGAAAATCAAAGGATTCCTACTGCCTCACCTACAACATTAAAAGTTCTACCACTTCGAAAACAATTTGTAACAATAACAGTGAAAGAGTAGCCACTCACTACTCTATGACTATATCTGAAAGTAATTATACTTATATTCTTAACAATTTCTAGACATATATGGATATACCCCATAACATTCTGACAAGTATTGTACCATCAAAATTGCCTTCCAGGGCGTCACTTTGTCATCCAATCATCTAAATGATGTAGTAACAAGCAGTGAACACTAAATTTACTCCCAAAAGTGCAGTTCCAAAGATATCAATATGAAGTATAAAAACCTTGACCCTTGCCATTCTAAACACAAGTATGCATAATCATTAACTTCTTGAGAAAGTACACTAATAAAGAATCTGAAGTCTCATCTGCCATACACGTCAATTTGTGTATAACGAATGTTGTTTTCATGAGAATAATTAATTATAAAAAGAGTATATTTTAAAAAGTTGAGTTGCAATGAAGTCATATTTTTGAACAAAATCAGAACCCCCTCTTAACGCACTTCCTAATTCAAAGCTAAAAGTCGAAAATCTTCACACACCCTTTCACCTTCCCAATAATCAATTTATTTAAGTCATTTTTTTTCTCATAAATTGTAAACAACAACAAAAAAAAAACTACACCAAACACACTGGCACAAACTCTCAAAATAAAAATAAAAAAAGAAGAAAAAAACCATAAACACCACCATAAGCTGCCCCAAAAAAGTCTTAATAATAAATAAGTAAAACTGACACTTTGAAATGAATTAAAGCAACTCAACTAAACAAAAGTACATCCCAAGAATTTGTCAAATGCAACCCATAACCATCACATACAATATTTCAGACAGCAACCCCAAGAAACAATTACCGAACAAATTTAGTCATAGGATCCAAGAGAATAAAGAGTAGTAGAAAAGGAGGTAGGTTTCGTAATCGGAGGTAGAACTAGTGCCCCATTTTAATTTTTAACTCAGAAAAAGAATGAGATAGAAATCTGAGGACAGACAAAAAAAAAGAAGAGTAAAGCCTAAATCAGTACACACTCCATCCTCCCAGAATCATGGATTGATGAAACTGACACTAGTTTAAGGAGAGAGAATTTAAAGGACGAATGACCTCTGTAAACAAATATGGAGGGTATGAATGAGGAAATTATGCACCTCTGAAATCCAAGAGAAGACAAACCCAAGATACAATTTATTTAAATTCTCATATTTGTGACATGCCTGGCCAAGGATTCTATATTCACTAGCCTTCTCTAATTTATCCAAAGCAGCCTTACGCAGTTTATCATTCTCATCTTCACTTTCTCCTTGAACTGCAGATCCTTCCATATCATCCTTCTTCGAAGATTCTTAGACCTCCTCAACCACATTCTGCATACCCACAATGCTCTTTGCTGCAGTCATAGCAGCCTCAACAGCCAGCAGCATGAAACCATAACTTAACATGGTTGCAAATAATCTACCAAGGACATCATGCAGCATAGCACTGAATGTTAGGAAAATAACACATGGACATTTGAGAACCATGTTTATGTATTGTCTCCCTCATTTTAGATTGAAAAGCATAATTGTCTATTTTGTAAAAACCAGCAAATGAAAAATGAAAAATGTAAAAACAAGCAAATGAAAAAACCGGATCATCTCAAGTATTCATAAGATACTCATAAAGCCTAATACACATGATTTTAATTCTAAACTTGTTTTCATTGTGACATGCATTGTGACTAGTCTTAGCAATTTTGACTACAACAAAAAATTCAAAGCATTTGGCATCTCTTATTCTCCCAAGTTAGTGCTCAAAATGGAGCCTAATGACTTGTGAGCGTTGTCGTTTTTCAGCTTTAAAAATTAACAACTTTTCTTGATAATCACAAAGACAATGTCACCATTGATCAATCAAACTGTGTCTACGGACACAAGACATGTGATTAGCTTCGTCTAATCTAGGTTCAATGTCACCATAGAAAGGCATATTAGAGACATCAGCTATTTTGCAGAGAACTGGAGTACTGGACATTAATGCTAGTACTCTGTGTGTTTTCTACAGAATGGATACGGAATCTGTTAACCATGTCCTATTGCACTGCCGATTGATTTGGAGGGTCTGTTCTAGAGTGTTGAAGTGGTGGGAGTTGAACTGGCCAATCCCTAAATCTGTTGAGAAGCTAATGCAGTGGTGGGCAGGTGCAAGATCCAAAAGGAAGGAGTTGTGTATTTGGAAGATTCGTTCGGGGGTTGTTTTGCATTTTCGCCTCTCGAACGCCTTTTTTCGACTAATTTTAAGGCGTTTTGGACTCTAACTCCCAATGTACGTGTGCTAATTACATCTCATCTGCTCCCACAGGGCGTATTTGTCACGAGGAGCCTGTCCGTAACATCCACAGAGTATTAGGGGGCCGTTTTGCATTTTCGCCCCCCCAAATGCCTTTTTTCGACCAAGTTTAAAGCATTTTCGACTCCAACTCCTAACCTACGTGTGATAATTAAATGTTTTCTGTCCCCACATGCCCTATTTTTCATGAGGAAGCTTCCCATGACATCCATAGAGTGGTTCGGGAGCTATTTTGCATTTTCGCCCTCTGAACGGCCTTTTTCGACTAAGTTTAAGGCGTTTTCTACTCTGACTCCCACTGTACGTATGCTAATTACATCCCATCTATCCCCACAAGTCCTATTTGTCATGAAGAACCTGCCCGTGACATCCACATAGTGGTTCGGGGCCTGTTTTGCATTTTCGCCCCTCGAATGCCTTGTTTCGACTTAGTTTAAGGCGTTTTCGACTCTAACTCCTAATGTACGTGCGCTAATTACATTCCGTCTATCCCCGCAGGTCATATTTGTCAGAAGGAAGCTGCCCGTGACATCCATAGAGTGGTTGGGGTTTTTTTTTGCATTTTCGCCCCCCCAAACGCCTTTTTTCGACTAAGTTTACGGCATTTTCGACTCTAACTCCCAATGTATGTGTGCTAATTATATTCTGTCTGCCCCCACAGGTCCTATTTGTCATGAGGAAGCTTCCCACGACACCCATAGAGTGGTTCGGGGGTTGTTTTGCAGTTATGCCCCCCAAACGCCTTTTTTCGACTAAGTTTAAGGCGTTTTCGACTCTAACTCCCAATGTACGTGTGCTAATTACATCTCGTCTATCCCCACAGGGCGTATTTGTCACGAGGAGCCTGCCTGCAACTTCCAGAGTGTAGTTCAGGGGCTGTTTTGCATTTTCGCCCCTCCGAACGCCTTTTTTCAACTAAGTTTAAAGTATTTTTTACTCCAATTCCTAACCTATGTGTGCTAATTACATGATGTCTATCCCCACATGTTCTATTTGTCATTAGGAAGCTGCCCATGACATCCGTAGAGTGGTTCGGGAGTTATTTTGCATTTTTCTCCCCGAACGGCCTTTTCGACTAAGTTTAAGGCGTTTTCGACTCTAACTCCCACTTTACGTGTGCTAATTACATCCTGTCTATCTCCACAGGTCCTATTTTTCAAGAGGAACCTGCCCGTAACATCCACAGAGTGGTTCAGGGCTGTTTTGCATTTTCACGCCCCGAACATATTTTTTCGACCAAGTTTAAGGTGTTTTCGACAGAGTTATGAAAGTAATTGGGACACCATTTCTAAAACCTGGGGATAAATACAGGCTGCTATTCCTAAAATGCAGATGTAAGTCTTACCTCTTCTACACATTTTCTTTTAATTGACCTATGGAACAATTGCCTGAGGTTTCTTCTGGGTGGACAAGCTAGAATCATTTACAAAGGGAAGTGCATAGGTACTTTGGGTATTGTGCATCCAGAGGTATGTAAAATATTGCTCAAGAAAACTTATTTTAGAAAGGAAATTACGTGGATAGTTGTTGTAAGATTCTTTTGTTTTTTTGCTGTTAAAATATCCTTGAGGGGGAATAGTTTGAAAAGCATGATCATAATGACCTATATTTTGGAGTGTGTGCAGGAAGTTTTGTTTTTCTTGTGAGACTTTAGTTTAGTGTTTTTTTAGCAAAATGGATGGGAAATAGTTCCCACATGAAGAGAGATTTCTCATTGAAGCATATTGTCTTCTTTTTCATTTTTAAATCTTACTATGTGAATGGTGAACCTTATAAATTTGAAACTAAGGTTTCTTCTCTCTAGATTCACTTCGCTCTCTCTTGCCTAAACCCGAGCAAATGGTATATAAGCAATACCTTTGGACTTGTAATCACCTATCACCTCAACTCCACTGTTGTTGAAATGGAGATTTGAAGTATGAATGGTGACTAAATAAACATATTAGAGTTTCAAGGACTTGATTAGCAAGCATTTCTATTTCATTATTAAAAGAATGATTAATGTGAGAATATGTTTGATGCTTTGTGTCTGCATGATATAATGAGATGGTTGGTGGCTGACCACTGGCCAAGTACATACCTGTTATGATATTGTAGTGAAAAAAAAGCTTTCCTCTATGTTTCATGGCCTCTGAGTATGAGGTCGGGTAATAGTAAGCTAATAGAAATGTGTATTTAGTATATAAGGCCTGTGCTGAAGTTTGCATTTAATTGTTCAAGTTGTTGTACCCTTTGAGTTTAAAATGATGGCGCTTAGAAGGGATAAGTTATGGCAAAAATTTCCTTTTGTGTTTTTAGCATCACAGTAAAAAAGAACAATTAGAAATAATAAATATAATGAAAGGGGAAAATATTAATTACAATGAAAGAGAAAATGGTCTCCCACAGTTTCAGCTTATATTTCTTCTTTTCCTTAATTGGTTGGTTTACATGGTGATGAAGCATGCCATTATGATTCACTGTCTATTTTTGGTTCCTCAAACAATCTGTGATATATTTATTTTTTTGTAAAAATAGCAGAGCAATAGCTAACTGGTAGCCTGCCTTGAGATTTGTGATTTGAACTATTAGAGTTGAAGCCAAACATTGAAAAATAAGAGATGTAAATTATTCTACATGAAATTATTTTCAGTGTAAATTATATTACATCAAAACAAACGGAGCCTAAAATAGACAGAAATTTTATTGAAGCAAAAATACTTCTGCAATACTCTCTTCATTGTAGAAAGCAACACTAAAAGCAAAAATAAAGTTTCTAAAGAAAAGGTCTACAGGCTAAAAAAGCAAAAAAACCAAACTTTTTTTGAACATATACCTCATTAACCATGTTATTCTTCTTTTACATCCAATTTGTTGCTTGTTGTTCTTCTTCATCAAGGTAAAATACATGCAACTCATGACTAAAATATATTCACATGCCCATAGAGTCATGAGGAAGCCGCCACATGTCCTATTTGTCATGAGGACGCTGCCCGTGACATCAATAGAGTGGTTTGGAGGCTGTTTTGCATTTTCACCCCCTGAATGTATTTTTTCGACTAAGTTTAAGGCATTTTTTACTCCAACTCCCAACCTACGTGTGCTAATTACATGCCGTCTGTCCCCACAGGTCTTATGTGTCACGAGGAAGCTTCCCGTAACATCCACAGAGTGATTCGGGGGCTGTTTTGCATTTTCACCCCCCGAATGCCTTTTTTCGACTAAGTTTAAGGCATTTTGACTCTAACTCCCAACCTACGTGCGCTAATTACATGTCGTCTGTCCCCACAGGTTGTATGTGTCACGAGGAAACTTCCCATAACATCCATAAAGTGATTTGGAGGTTGTTTTGCATTTTGGCCCCTTGAACGCCTTTTTCGACTAAGTTGAAGGCATTTTTTACTCCAGTTCCCAACCTACGTGTGCTAATTACATCCCGTCTATCTCCACAAGTCCTATGTGTCCCGAGGAAGCTGTCCGTGACATCCATAGAGTGGTTCGGGGGCTATTTTGCATTTTCACCCCCCAAACGCCTTTTTTCGACCAAGTTTAAGGTATTTTTTACTCTAACTCCCAACCTACGTGTAATAATTACAGCTCGTCTGTCCCCACAGGTCCTATGTGTCACAAGGAAGCAACTCCTGACATCCATAGAGTGGTTCAGTGGCTGTTTTACATTTTTGCCTCTCGAACGCCCCGTTTTCGACTAAGTTGGATTATTTATTTATTTTTCAAGTAACTTAAATGAATGTTTGTGAAACCCAAGCTTGTTATCTACTCTATGTGAAACCCAACCATTTAGGCACTCTGTTCAACTGTTTCATAATTGATAAACTGCTAGTGAATATTCCTAATCAATTCAGGGAAAGTGAATATTTCATAGAAACATGTAGTTACCATTTTCCACATCAGAATGAAGTCCTTCAGAGTATCCAAACTGTGAGAATATATTGTGAATCTAACAAATTAGGCATGATTGTATTTTCCTTTTGGGTTTAGGAGTTAGGGCTATATAATCTAAGGACTGATTGTAATCAAATATCAATCTAATATACAGTTTTCGTTCAGAAATCTTACATGGTATCAAAGCTAGGTTCGAAACCCTAGCTGCTTCGCATGTCACCATCGGAGTAGCGACTTTTCTCTCTCTAGACTCGCGAAGGTTCGAAACCCTAGCCCTCTCTGGTTCGTTTGGTTTGTCTCGTGAAGGCCCTTCTCTCTTCCTCGCGATCTCTGTTTGATTCGATTCGCAGCTATCCACCTCGGCTCTCTGGTTAATTTGGTTCATCTTCCTCGTGATCTCTGTCTGAAGATGGATCTCAACTTCAGTCTCTCTCTCTCTCTCTCTTTGTGCTTCGCGATCTCTGCCTCAAGATCGATCTCAGTTTCAATCTCTTTCTCTCTGCTTCGCGATCTTTGTGCTTCAACTTGGGTATTTCTATTTAAAACCCTATTTCAGGAATATTGCACTCAAGCCCCATACTTGTCCGTTTATTACAAACTTTGTTTTATTACAATGTCCAAGCCATCAAATGTAAACTCACTGGTAGCAATTATGCCTATTGGGCCAGTGTCATGAAGAATTTTCTTCTTGGTCAAAAAAAATGGGGCTATGTTTCTGGTTTTGTTCCTCGTCCATCGAACTCGAAGGCGGAAGGGTATCTGCCTTCCTGTGACACTTGGAATTGTGATAACGCCCAACTTCTGACCTGGTTTCATAATTCTACGGATGACCGTATTGGAATGATGTTTTCCAAGTACAGTACTGCCAAGGAAGTGTGGGATTATTTTCTAGGTATTTATCAGAGGTCCAACTTTGCCAAGCGATATGAGTTGGAAACAACTATTCAGAGTGCTCGTCAGCGGGATCAAACTATTCAAGACTTCTATATTGAGATGACCGGTCTCTGGGATCAATTGGCTCTTATGCAACCACCTAGTCTCAAGATACTGGACGCTTATATTGAGTTTCTGGAGTAGGATTGTTTAGTGCAGTTCTTAACGGCTTTATCCCCTCAGTATGAGGCTATCCGAGGTGGCATCCTTCACCGATCTCCTCTTCTCTTTGTGGATGCTATTGTTCGTGAGCTCTTCTCCAAGGAAACCCGTCTTAAGACGACCAGTCAGACTCTGCCTCATTCTGTCTTCTTGGCTCCTGCCAAGCCTCCCTTGTTATCGACCCCACCTCCTTATCAGCTTCAAGCCACTACGAAACCCAAGAAAGGATCATTAGGGCCAGATGAGTGTGCTTTCTGTCATCAGAGGGGTCATTGGAAGAATAACTGTCCCAAGAAGGGACGTCAGCCTGCTCCATCTTCCTAGACACAGTTCCGTAGTCCTACTTTGGGTACTTTTCGCCCTCCTACCGCTTACACTACATCTACTCCGGCTCCTGATCCTGACTTGGCTTCTTTGAGTGCTCAGGTTGCACAACTTCAGCATATCCTCTCCACTTCTCAGCCATCCTCATCTGCCTTCGCTCTTACATCTCTTCATTCAGGTTTGCTTGGGTCCTCTTCAGGTATTCCTTTCTCTGTCTGGCTCTTTAATTCGGGTGCCTCTCATCATATGACTCCTCACCTTTCCTTACTCCAAAACTGTATCCCCTTTTCCTTTCCCATTACTATCAATACTGCTAATGGGACTGGTATATATGTCCAATCTATTGGGTCTGTTTTACCCTCTGCTATGTCTATTATTACTATTCCCTCTGTTCTTTATATTCCTCAACTGTCTGTTAGCTTGCTTTCTATCAGTCAGCTTGATACTTCTGGTTTTATTGTTATCTTTTCTTTTTCTGTCTGTTGTCTGTAGGATCGGATATCCAAGAAACAGATTGGGACCGACCGTAGAGTTTGAGATCTCTATGTGGTGGAAAGCCTGCATCTTCCTCAGTCTACCTCCCCCGTTGCACTTTCATCTTTTCAGTTAGATTCTCAATCGAGTCAGTTCTATTTATGGCATTCTCACTTAGGTCATTTGTCTGTTGACTGCTTGCGGTCTTTAGCTCAATCAGGCTTGCTATGTAAAGTTTCTCGTAGTCAAATTGATGAGTGTCAAGGGTGTAAACTTGCTAAAATGATAGCTTTACCTTTTAATAACAATACTTCTATTTCTGCTTCCCCTTTTTTCGTTGTACATACTGATGTCTGGGGACCTTCTCCTATTCTCACTAAAGGGGGTTCTGCGTATTATATGTCCTTTGTTGATGATTGTACCCGCTATACCTGGGTTTATCTTATGGCTCATAAATCTGACTTCTATCAGATATATCGTACCTTTCAGTCTATGATCACTACACAGTTTGGGGCCATAATTAAAATATTCCGGTCTGACTTGGGTGGGGAATACTTTAAAACTGAATTTTGTGAGTATTTGGCCAAATTGGGCACCATTCACCAAACCTCCTATATTGATACCCCTGCCCAAAATGGTCGTGCTGAGCGTAAACATCGTCATCTCCTTAGCTCGATCTTTTCTTTTCTCTGCCTCTGTTCCAACACCATTCTGGGGTGAGGCAGTTCTTACCACTGCTTTTCTCCTTAATCGCATGCCGACTCCCTTACTCTCCGGTCGATCCCCTTATGAGGTTCTGTATTTCTAACCTCCCAATTATTCCCTTATGCGTGTCTTTGGGTCTGCTTGTTTTGTCCTCCTTCCTCGTAAAGATAGGACCAAACTCAGTGCCTAGTCTGTCTTGTGTGTCTTTTTGGGTTATAGTCTTACTCAAAAAGGCTACTGCTGTTACAATCCTGTCTCTCGTCGCCTTTATGTCTCCCGTCATGTTGCCTTTCTCGAACATCTGTCTTACTTTCAGCTTCCCCTTCTCATTGCTCCAGTTTCAAAAGAGGATTTGGTTCACATTGACCCATTTCCTTCTGAGGTCTCGTCTAATGAATACATCTCCATTGTTCCCCATAAGCTTGTTCCATCTTCTCTTCCTGCGTCACCTCTCGCTATTTCTCTTCCTTCGGCTTCTTCTCCTCCTCCGTTATTAGTTTATTCTCGTCGCAAGGCTCCTCCTCCACCGGTTGTCTCTGCCCTTACTGCTGCTTCTGACGCCTCTAATACTCCTGCACACCACTATCCTACTCGAGCACGTCATCCTCCAAACAGGTTAGGTTGGTCTAATACATGTTTTTTTGCTTCCTATCATACTTTTTTGTCTACTATTCACTCTTCTCAGAACCTCATTCTTACAAGAAGGCATGTGAGGATCCTCATTGGGTTCAAGTTATGGATGATGAATTGTCTGCTCTACAGAAAACTAGTACTTGGGAGTTGGTTCTGTTAGCCCTAAGGTTACTCAAACTTGAATTTCTATTGATTTTGATTAATGATGAATATTTTATTCTTCTGATTATTTGAAGTTTTCAAATTAATATTTGTGCTTCATGATTCTAATTGTTTTGAGACTCTAGAATATTATGTTTCAATAACTTTTTGGGATATCAGAAAATAAGCATTAGCTCTTGGTTGCAAAAATCTATCTTTGTCTAGCACAGGTCCAAGGGTCGACACTAGAATAATCCTCAAGAGTGTTAAGTGTTCCAGAACAAAGGGTCGACACCAGAAAAGCAGGGCTCGACACCAGGGAAAAGTTGGAAAAATAACTAAAGTGTTCCGTATGCAAGGGTCGACACCAACAGCAGCAAGGGTCGACACCAAAAAGCAGTATACACTTCAGCCACAAGGGTCGACACTAAATTAGCTAAGGGTCGACACCAGGAACACATGTAAATCAACTCGGGAAAGAAAAATCAGAGCAAAGGGTCGACACCCAATTTGCAGGGGACGACACCTTTATGTCTGGGTTGAACTAAACCTAGCCGCCATCTTCCAACTCAAAGAGGGTCTCTGTGACATCATCATTAGACAAATGTTATTCTAATCAAAAGGAACTTTGGGACAACAATCTCTGACTTAATGGAGGAAACATTTTCCACTCACACCACTCCCAAAGTCTGAAAAAGAAAAAGCATGGAGACAACATCATATCCATCCACCATAGTTTTGTATTCCAAGCATGGGCATCACTTCCTTTGAGGAAGCTCCATCTCCAATGGTCAGAAAACAGCCTGTACCAAACATTCTCCACTCACAACATCTGGAAACTTTTTCCTTGCCCAGCTTCAACAGATAGTATACCCACATGGGTGTGTTTTTACTTCAAGAGATGAGTCGGATGGGAGCTATAAATTTGGATCTTTTCCAAATCCGAAAAAACAAGAGAGATACGACTGCAACTACACTAAGTATACCAAGCATTTTTTTCAATCTCCGAGATTTCACTTGTGTTCTCCCATTTTCAGATTTAAGTTAGTCCGAAAACTTACTTGTGAGCTTACACTTTCATAATCCATCTTTTGAGAGATGGTAATAGTCAAAGAGGACAGTTGAACCTCTTATTCTAGTTTCTTAGTTTCTGAGTGAAACATCTGTAAAGTGAGGCATTTTGTTGAGTGAGTTCCTCAACAGATTGAAGTAAGGCCTTTGGTAAAAAAAACCTCAAGTTGGAAGAGCTTGGTGGTGCATCGATTCATAGTGAAGAAATTCTCAAGGAGGATTCTTGAGGAGTGGACGTAGGCCAGTGAGCCGAACCACTATAAATCTCAGTGTTAAGTTCTTCTTTCCTATTCTTTTTACTTTCTATTAATCTATTGATTATCTGCTGCATTTAATTACATAAGATCTTTTGAACCTTATTTTTTGACCAAATTTTTTAATAACCCAATTCACCCCCCGCCCTCTTGGATTGCTTTCCTGTTTAACAATTGGTGTCAGAGCCACGTCTCTAGTAGTGTGACTTAACCGTCTTAGAGTGATCTATGGCAAACCCTAGTTCTTCTCTCCCTAAAGGTCAAGCCTCAAACAGACCACCCTTCTTCAATGGAACAAATTTTAACTATTAGAAAACCTGCATGATTATGCACATTCAATCTACTGACTATGAAGTTTAGAAAATCATATGAAGTTTAGAAAATCATATGTGAGGGTCCTAAGGTACCCACAAAAACCGTAGATGGTCTGCTAGTACCTAAACTTGAGAGTGAGTGGACTAGTGCTGACTGTAAAGATATTCTATTAAATGCCAAAACTATTAATATGTTGTATTATGCACTTGATGCTACTGAGTTTAACAGAATATACACTTGTACCACTGCTAAAGAAATTTGGGATAAACTTGTTGTAACTAGTGAGGGAACCACTCAAGTTAAAGAATCTAGAGTGAGCTTACTTGTTCATAACTATGAGCTCTTCAAGATAAAACCAGATGAAAACATATCCCAAATGTTCACTCGTTTTACAGATATTATAAACAATCTTAAATCTCTTGGAAATACTTACACGAATGCAGAAATTGTCAGAAAAGTGTTCCGATCATTGCCAAAAAGTTGGGAGAACAAAGTTATTGCAGTGATAGAAGCAAGAGACTTATCAACATTAAGTCTTAATGAGCTAATGGAATCTTTCCTAACCCATGAGATCATTATGCAAGAAGGAAAAGAAGAAAAAGACAAGAATAAGAAGAAAGGGATAGCTTTCAAGTCTACCACAAAATCTCAAGGGGAAGAAGAAGATGTTTTAGAAGAAGATGAAGAGATGGCTTTCATTACCAAAAGATTCAAAAGATTTATAAAGAAGAAGCAAGGTGTAAGGAAGTTTTTCAGAAAAGACTTCAACAAAGATCTTCAAAAAGGAGAAAGTCATAAAAAATCCGAAGTGATCTGCTATGAATGTAACAAGCCGGGTCATTACAAATTAGAATGTCCAGAGCTCAAAAAACAATTCAAGAAAGATAAGAAGAAAGCCAGATTGCAGCATGGGGAGAAGACAGTGATGACAGCGACTTAGAGACTGATATTTGCAAAAATGAAGTCGCAAATCTATACTTAATAGCACTGGAAGATGAGGTAAATGATGACACCTTTACCTTCGATGAATTACAAACTGCTTTTGATGAATTGCATGATGAATTTAAAAAATTAAGTTTGAAAAGTAGCTGTCAAAAGAAATTGATTTCTAGTTTCTCTCAAGAAAAGGAATTCTTAACTTCTCAAATCAATACTTTAGAAAACGAAGTCTTGACAATGAAAAAGAAGAAAGAATTCTCAAAGGAAAAAGAGTTTGTACAAAAGGAAAATGAAATTTTGAAAAATGACAAAGTTGTCTTAAATGAAAACATAGAAGATTTAAAAAATGTTCTTTCAAAATTTACTCAAGGGAGAAATACCTTAGACAAAATTCTCAAAAGTCAAACTCAAACCTTTGGAAGAATGGGGATTGGCTATAAACCTTTTTCGAAAGCAGCAACTTCCCAA